TCCTTCAGTCATGTTTTATTCTCTATCTGCAAAAAAGCGTGACTTTCCCTAATACCACATAAGCTCGTGGCTGGGCTATTAAAAAAACAAAAGTAAGAATAAGCTATTAGTAAGTTTTGTAGGAATCAAAAGTTATACGTGAACTCAACTGCGGGGGGGGGTCAGCACCCTAAACCCCCAAGTTGCTAAATGGCCAATTGTACTCTGTTTCAAGTACAATTGTACACTGCTTACGACAGATGTTTTCAGAAACACATGATCAGGCGAAGGGATGTGCAAACATCAGACTGTACTTACACAAGCCTGTACTTATAGTAGGCCTAGCCTACTATACACCTAGGCTGTATGGTATGGACCATCGCCCCAGGGCCACAAACCCATACAGTATGTTACTGTACTTGGCACTATATTGTAAAACAATGATATTTGTGCATCTAAACATACAAGTTTTTTTTTTAATGGTCCATCTGTAAGGGCACGTCCCATGAACGGAGCCTGCAGGACTGGAAGTTGCTCTGGGTGAGTCAGTGAGTGAGAGTGAATGTCACAGCCTAGGACATTACTGTATACTACTGGAGACTTTATAAACACTGGACACTTATGCTACACTAAACTTATAAAAATATTTTCCTTTCTTCGATAATAAATTAATCTTAGCTTATTGTAACTTTTTTATTTTATAAACGTAAAGTTTTTAAACTTTTTAGCTCTTTTGTGACATTTTGCTTAAAACAGAGTACAGCTGTATAAAAATAATTTATTATTTTATAAGTTTCTTGCTATCTTTTTTTTAACTAAAAACTAAGACACAAGCACACACATTAGCCTAGGCCTACATCTTCCACCTCCACATCTTATCCCACTAAGAAAGTCTTCAGGGGCAATAACACACGGAGCTGTCACCTCCTATAACAAACAATGCCTTCTTCTGGAATATCTCCTTAAGGACCTGCCTGAGTCTCTTCTTAAGGAGGTGCCACTCTTTTCAGAAATATGCCCTTGGTGGAGTATAGTGACTCATACCTGTAATCCCAGCACTTTGGGAGGCAAAGGTAGAAGGACTGCCTGAGCCCAGGAATTTAAGACCAGTCTGGGCAACACAGCAAGACCTTGTCTCTACAAAAAATAATCAAAAAGCTAGCTGGGTGTGGTGGCACACACCTATAGTCCCAGCTACCTGGGAAGCTGAGATGGAAGGACTGCCTGAGCTGCAGTGAACTGTGATCATACCATCGCACTCCAACCTGGGCAACAGAGTGAGACCCTGACTGAAAAACAAAAAGGTAGATATATGCACTCTCTGACTTTGGGAGGGCTATCATCTCACTAGGCAATGGGAGTTTTTCAGCTCCATATAATCTCATGGGACCATGGCCCTCACTGACCTCAAGCAGCACACAGTTGGCCTCATACAACATATGACTGTTTTCTGACAAATTACTTATGATGACACAGATTACATCTCAAATGCCTCCTTCCCTTACCACTCCCCTTCTGAGGTAGCACCTCAACCACTCCAAGCAACTTTTCTTCAGGGCAGTCATCGTTAACAGGGATGCTGCTCTCTTTCTCTGACAAGTTGAACAACGGTCCTCTGATGTCAAAGTCTGGATTCCTAGAATCAGTGATTATGTTGCCTGTAAAAGAAACTTTGGAGACAGACTGAGGGTCTGGAGCAGATTTTCCAGGATTATCATCCAGCAGGCCCAATGTAATCACAAGTGTCCTTAAAAGAGGAAGACAGAGGTTACACTATCGGCTTTGAAAATGGAAGGACTGTGAGTCAGGGAATGCAGGTGGCCTCCTGAAGCACAAAAAGGCGAGGGAACATTCTCCTTCAGAGCCTCCAGAAGGAAACAGACCTGCTGATCCCTTGATTTGAGTGTCCAAACCCCAGAAATGTAAAATAATTAGTGCTGTTTAAAGCCACTAAATGTTTGGTAATTTGTTACAGCAGCAACAGGAAAATAATACACCCACAGAAATACGAATTCCATGAGAGCTGGGGAGTCTACCTACCACTTCCCCCCAGAGCAGACTGGCACAATGGGTACTCAAACAGGTGTGCAGTAAATTAACAATGTGCCAACTTCAATCACTTGGTCATGGACATTTCAAGACAAAGGGAGGTTATGAAAAGTATGAGGAAGGAATTCATGTCTAGACTCAAAAGAAAAGTGAACAAACCACTACAGAGATGTCATCAAAGAGGGAGGTGCAACCATGGAATTTGAGGACACTGATCTACAGAACAGATCACGAGTATGAGTGCCGACAATGAGACGGACGCTGTGCTGGACGTTTTATATATACATGATCCCACTTAATCTTCACAATAAAGAGTTAGCAAGAAGATATCATTCCCATTTTATAAAGAAGATAACAGAGAAGCACTGAGAAATTAAGAAACTTGCCCAAAAGCCAAGAATTGAACCCAGATTCAATTGCACAGATTACACATATTTTGCTTTTCCCACTATATCATACACAGTAATTCTTATTTCAAAGTACTTGTCACAAACATTTTCTACTTTAATCCTTACTGTAAACTTAAGAGGTATTATCCCTACTTGCCAAATCAAAAAATCTCAAGTTTACAGGTTAAATAATTTACCCAAAATGCATGCCAAGAATGTGATAGAACCAAGATCTGATTCCAGGTCCTAAGGATCAGAAGGTGGTTTTACTATTCAAAAAAGTTTTTCTTCCATATTCATAATATTCTCTTAAAAGTTCGGTTTATTTTATTGAACCTGTAAAATTTCAGGTACCCTATATTAGTTGGGAACCAGCAGATTTGCAGTTTGGTTCTTAATGTCTATAACTGAATTTTTATCTCTTTTTTTCTAAGCATTTTAATTTTAAAATTATTTTGGTTTGTTTGTTTTAAAGCAGGATATTAAGAGGACAGGAAAGCTCCCACAGTGGGAGGGGACCCGAGGAGGTTGCCGAATTTTAAAATTTTAAATGACGAGGCAACCTGTGTGTCATGACAACCAGTGAAAACAGAAACAAGTGGTCAACTTGCTTTTTATTTTAATAGCTATTAACTTTCCCCAAACCGCCACATTTCCTCTAAATGTTTTTACATCATCACTGTCAAATACTCCTAAGTAAAGACATCAGATATTCAACAGAGCAATCTGATTGTCAGTTTAGAACTGAGGCAGTAGTTTTCTGCCATCAGTAAGAATACCTTTTCTTCCACCAACAGATCTCTGCAAAACCCAAGGAATTTTGTTGATAGAGACATGCTAAAGTGAAGCTCAGGAGGACCAAACGATGTTTCCATGACTGCTAAGTCAAAGGGTAATAGACACTGGCAAAGGCTAGCACTTCCCCATGTGAGAAAAAGAAAGGAATGACCACTTTAGAAAATAACTGGCCATTTTTCATGAGAAAATTCTATTTTTGCCAAAACCTCCACTATATTATTTACTGGTGAAGGACCTCACCCCTATATACATGAGATTCTCCCTCTCAATCTTGGTGTCATTCATTTAGTCTGGATTTCCCTTCTCTGTACCACTAGACTTAAGTTTGTTAACTTAAGTTTGTTACTGCTATGCATAATAAATCCTCACTCACCCACTTGCCAAATTATTCCACAATTACCAAAGATTAAGTAAGCTCCTATAGGGATCAGGAGAAACTGCTTATGGGCACATTTACTTCTACACTTATTTTTCTTTTAATTTTATTTTTAGTAGATATAGGTTCTTGCTATATTGCCCAGGCTGGTCTCAAACTCCTGGCATGCTCAAGTTACCCTCCTGCCTCAGCCTCCAAAGTGCTGGGATTACAGGCAAGAGCCACTACAGCTGGGCAAAAGTTTTCTTAATGACCCAAATTTTTGGCTGTAATCTCCAGATAAAGTCGTAATGTATATCCTTAAAACAACTGCAAGGAACAAAAAGAAAAAAGGCTTTATGGCTTTATATTAAGTGAAAAACATTTGAATAAACTAACATATTTTAAACAGGGACAGTTTCCTGGCATTTCAAGCCCTACTAAGAAACACAAAACTGAACTGGGACAATTATTCAAAGTTGTTACATGTCGAAACACTGTTAATTCTGAAGGACACTAGCGGAGATCACATAGGGACACTAGGGGCCAGAAAAGAAATTAAGTAGATAAGATTTCGTATTTGAAGTAGTGGACAAAGATACTGAAAGATACTATTAAATAAGGCTATTCAATGCTTGCCCAGCTTAACATTCAAATAGAATAGTTTTTCTGTAAACCTAATGGTCCTCTCATGCCATAACTTCTCATAAGCCCATGCATTTGAACTCACTATTCTCAAACTTAGAATGTTATTTATTTACTTATTTATTTATTTTTGAGCTGATCTCTCTCACTCTGTCGCACAGGCTGTAGTGTAGTGGCACACTCATGGCCACTGCAGCCTCGACCTGCTGGGCTCAGGTGATCCTTCTGCCCCACCCTTCCAAGTAGCCAGAACTACAGGTACACACCACCATGCCCAGCTAATTTTTTTATCTATTATAGAGATGAGGTCTCACCAAGTTGCCCAGGCTGGCCTTGAACCCGTGGGTGCAGGCAATCCTCTCACCTCGGCCTCCCAAATTGCTGGGATTATACGCGTGAGCCACCATGCCCAGTGGAATGCCTTTTTTAATGTCTAACACCTATACATCTTTCAGCCCTTAGTTGATGGCCGACTACTACAGCAGAAACAGCAACTTCTGTTGACCCCAATCATAGGAGAAGTTGTTTAGAATATACTCACTAATTGTCTTAATAAGTCCTCTTTGTAATAGTTCTTTTTACAGTCTTAATGTTGCATATTCACTACCTTACAAATAGGGTTTTTTTAGTCTATTTGTTATACCCACTCTTCCTCCAACCTGGTTAGGAACCCGTTCTCAGATTCTTTGGTTCCCAGTGACAAAGCAATGCTGTATCACAGAGGATCACACCTTATTTTTATAAATTATTATTCCTTTTTGCAAATTATCAAATACCTTTTAATCTGGTAGTCAAAACTTGTTTTTATTACTAGTCTTAAAGGGCATTCAAAAAACTTTCTCATAAACATAACATATACCAGTAATTCTTTTTCATAACAGAAGATTATGAACTTATAAATTACCAAAAAAATATACAGCACAGTAAAACCACTTCTGATATTCTTGAAAAATACTTTTTCACTTTACAAGGGATACAATATGTGCTTCTGTTTAGCTGTCACTCTCCATTTTGAGATGACTTTAAAACAACCACAAAACGGATCCTACACTAAAAAGACATCTCTAGTATGTGTTTGAGATCATAGCCTCTGAAATTTCAAAAGTTGCCACAATATTTTTCCAGTCCTGTAAAGTCAAAGATATAATTCCTTGCTTCCTGTCATAGAAACCAGGATCGTTTCCCTCATCCACTTGGTTAGTAGTAGTGGGCTCCAATATTGGCAGCCTGTCTTGGTCAAGCCTTATTCTTGCAAAGCCATCTCTTATAATGAAAGAAACATAAAATATATTCTCCACAGTACGAGAGAAAGAATTAGGATCGATCACAAACTCAAAGTAGGACACAGGACTATCAGGATACTTTTGAAAGCAGGTTTGCAACAATCCCAAAATTCTTTCTACTTCCTTTTCCGTGGCTTCGGCATTACTACTCAGGTCCAACTTCCTCAGCTTCGTGGGCATGCTCCCATTTTCTTCTGCCTTGCGAACTTTCTTCGGGTGTCGGGGTCTCCGCGCGCAAGGTTCGGCCTTGAACGAGCCAAGCATGAAGCGGAATGTCTCGGCCTGCAACATCCAGGCCGCCGCTTCCTTCTGCATCCTCTCCCAGAAGGAAAGCACGACCTTATCATCAAAGCCACTCAGCTCCCCGCGCTCGTCTTCCATCCAGTTCAGACCCACGAACGTAAACAGAAGGTCACAGAACGCCGACTGATTGAAGAGGCTCACGTCGGAGTTCAACTGCTTCGCCTTCTCCTTCCCCAGGTCGGAAGCCAACACCAGGAACTGGGCGTCGAGCGCCGCCTCCCTCGTGCGGCTCACCTCGTCGAACAGGACGTTGGCCTCCTCGAGGGCCTCGGTCAGCGAGTCGTTGGGCGTGTTCACGATGTCCTCCCGGTTCTGCTGGACCGTGTAGATGAGCTGCCGGTACTGCCTGCGGATGTGCCGACACTTCTCCTCGTCCGCCGCAAGCCCCAGCAGGCTCGGGGCGAGGCCGGCCGCCCTGAAGCGG